GACACATTCATCATCTTGACAGCTGGTTTCGGTAACAACAACTGTCTTGGTAACAGCTTGGGTTTCCTTCGTATAATCTTGGGGAATATGATGATCAATAAGTTCTGTACTACAGCTTGTACCTGAACATTCAACAATTTCAACAATAGTTTTTAAGACTATTTCATCTCCTGAATTTGTTCTGATGGTGCCAGTACGGTAAACAACAGATTTGGGTTTGGTTTCAGAAGTGGGCAAAAGATCTTTGAAGCCCCGAGTTGTAGTATACCTCTTGCCCTTGTCGTCTGTAGAAGGGATAACCACACCAATGTTAGTTTTTCCATCTTCATCCACGTAGGTAGTAGTGTACTCTGATTCTTGGAAGCCCAGCGTGACAGTGCGCCAACTCTCATTTATATCAGTACTAACAATAACAATTCCTATCTTTAGGTCGCCATCATCATCGATATAGCTAAAGGTGAACAGGTTTTCATCCTTCTTCAGTGTTCTAGTAACCCAGCCCTCATTATCAACAATAGCAACAACAATAGTGCCCTTATTGGGCCACCCATCGTCATCAATACATGTAGTGTTATACGAGATGGCTTCGAAGTCCAGGATAGTACTGTAAGAGGTTTCATTCTCACCCGTTGCTGTAATTTCTTCATTTCCAACAGATGTATCGTTATCCTTCAATTCACTGATCTCAGACTTCATGGTTTGCAAATCAATAGTTGTAGTATCATCCTCTTCCATTGTCTCAGTGTCTTCACCAACCTCAAATTCAGTACCTTCAGATTCCATGGTTTCCAAGTCAATAGTTGTAGTATCACCCTCTTCCATTGTCTCAGTCTCTTCACCAACATCAAATTCAGTACCTTCAGATTCAATGGTTTCCAAGTCAATAGTTGTAGTATCACCCTTTTCCATTGTATCAATTTCACCAGCCGATTCAACATCCTCCAATTCAGTCAGGTCAGATTCCATGGTTTCCAAATCAATAGTTGTACTATCATTGTCTCCCATTGCTTCAGTTTCTTCACCAGTCGATTCATCCACCTCCAATTCAGTCACGTCAGATTCCATGGTTGATAAATCAATAATTGTAGTATCATCCTCTTCCATTGTCTCAGTCTCTTCACCAAC